CATCACTGTTTACGGTTTGGATATCATCTGTTAAGAATTTTTCAAATAGTCATTTATATTCATTCTCATACTTTGAAGCACTTTAGCGTTGGTGTCCGCTAAATACTGTGTTGGTATAGCGCTTTAGCATTAGCTGGTATAGAGTTTTATACCAGCTTTCACGGGATACCATGTTTGTTTAGCATTGTTGCCCTAATTAAAATTATTTGCCTTCAGAAGCCACCAAAGTGGTAAATAGAGTCCAATTTAATCATTGTATAAATCCAGCTATTCTGTGAAAGCCTGAAAAGTTTGTTAGAGAAAAGCATTATGAAGACCAAGGAACAAATCTCAATTTATTATTCAAATCATGTCACCATGCAGTGCCAGTCCAAGCCCACCAGAGGGCCCCAAAAGCACCAAACTAACATGATAAAATGTATGTATGTTTAAAATAACATTAATAATATAAACTAAATGATATGACACAGGGGAATTAGCTGATATTACTTTACATAGTTAAAGCTTTATGACACAGTTAAATACCACTCTGCATTTCAAAATCTACATTTATTTTTTTTCCGTTTGCTACTCCTGTTGGGTAAAATTGATAACCATAATAGCACCAGTATGATGTAAGCTAATTACAAATGCTAATGATAGCTGATATGTTACACACATAGAGTAGCTCAAGACTGATAAAGCATTTGGTGTTAACATGATGTAACCATGCATTATTTTCCTTCTACTTTAAAATGATCTGCTTTCTTATGTTTAGCCACAAAAAAATCCTAAAGTGATTGAAAATGTAAGGAAAAAAATGTTTGAGATGTGAGTACCTTAACAAAGCACAGTAAAAACTGCATATTTTTGTTTGTTTTCTGCAGTTCAAAAGCCAGAGAAGCTCAGCTTTTTGTGTGCGGCGGGAGCTCTGCGTGACGGCATCTGTGCCTACACTGCCCTACACACACACGCCCACATGGCAGCTGGACAAACACTCCTGGTGATGGACGGGTCCAGTGTACGTACAGTCAGTCTGAGGATGAACTGCAATGTCGGGGCAGTATGATTTAGTAACAGTCTCATCTCCTGTAATTGTGAAGCCTTTCGGCCTCATGTGTGTCCAGCTGGCCTGTTACCACGGAGTCAAGGTCCTCACCACATCACACTCGCCACAGAAACAGGCCTTCCTGGAGCAGCTTCGGCCCAGCGTAGGTTTGTATCCCCCACTGCGTTGACGACCGCACCTCCTGTCTTTTAATTCAGCTTCCTGTCGCTGTCAACTGCTGATTTGACGACAAATCAGCTTTACTTTCAAGCTATGCATTTGCTTCCTTCACTTCTTTCCTCTCCTTCATATTTTCCTTAGGCATTCAGGATCCTTTAGTAGGTGAGATATTTTTCTGTCTTTTCTTTTCAAACCCTCCAAGTACATCTCAAAACATTTGAATTTTGTAAAATAGTTCAATAGTTTTTACTTATTTTTAGAAAGTTAAACTCTTATGTTAACATAGACTTATTACACACTGAGTGAAATGTTTCAGTCCATTATTTAATGTAATTTTGATGTTTGCTGCAGTTATCCCTGCTGCTGATGCTTCTTTTCCTACCACTTTTTCCTTCCACTTAACTTTCCATGAATATGCTTAGTTACAGAACTGTGTGACTAACCAGCTTCTTTGGCATTGACATTGATCAAGTCAACAATCTTCAATACCTAAAAAGCTTTTTTGAAATTATCATTATGTAACATTACAGTTTTCCAAAACAATGAATTTGGAGTTTTTATTTTTCCAAGTCATCAAAATTATGCCAAATAAAGACTTGAAATGTTTCACTTTATATAAAATTTGAGTTTCATTTTCTGAAATGAGGAGCAAAGATATTGTTTTTCGTTATACCCAAATGTTTCTCAGATGTACCTGTATGCCTGCTTCTCTACAGGATTGCTAATGTCTGACAAAACTAATGGTGCGCCTTTTGTTCATGTCTTCTGACACTTGTTTTATTTTCAACAAGTTAGTTGTTGAAAATGCCTAATATTTATTTTATGTATGAAGCACAGAGAAGGAAATGTGCTAAATGTAAATTTTGCTGCCACCTTGTGGAGAGAATCAAATACTGTGTGCAGGTAAACTTTTCACTGGTATAGCCAAAAGTTTCCTATTCTTTTTTTATTGCCTGTTTTTGGTCCTTTTTTTTCCATACTAAAATTGACTATAATCTAATAATAATGTAGGAAAATGGATGCAAATGTTATCAAAACATTTGTGTCAAAATGTTTGGGTAGGACTGTAGGATATAGAGAATGTTGAACTGTAGAATCAGCCATGGTGGTTCAGTGTTTTATGTGGTTCTGTTTTGGTTCATACAGCCAGAGTCATTCCGGTGCATAACGGATCATCGGACCTACTGTCAGTGGTTCTGGAGGAGACGGGAGGACTGGGAGTGGATATAGTTGTGGATTCTGGAGGTGAACTGAAAATACACTTCAGGATGATGACCATGTCTTTGTTTAAAATATGATTTTAATAATGAAATATAGGCCTTTTTTCTTTAAAGTTTGTCTCCACGGAGTTGAGGAGGAGGATATTAAATTACTCCCCCATAAGCATGACATCATCAGTGTGCTTGGAGTGGGAGGGCACTGGGTCACCTCCCACAAAAATCTGCAGGTAACAGGCGTACAGTCAAATACAAGCAGCTCCTGTTAGTTCAGACTTTAAAGTTCTACATAAACATATTAATTATGAAATGTTTGTTCTGTCTGCAGTTGGATCCTCCAGACTGCAGGTTACTGCATTTAAAATGCGCCTCCGTGTCTTTCCTCAACCCTGAGGTCTGGACGACCTCATCGGCTCAGCAAGGACGATACCTCCGTATCCTGTCCTCACATCTACAGCCTCCACTCATCATCTGCATTCATCTTATAACTATTTAGGGCTTTTAATTATTCATTTGAACCATTCTCTTATAATAATACATCAAAATTATATAGCAATTTACAAGGAATAGTAGTAGTAGTTGAAACTTAAGGGGATTATGATGGATAGGCCAGCTTTGAGTAATGGTTTGACGGTAGGTTGAGAGTCAGAGTTCCTATTGTTTTGAGGAGTTCCAATGGGGTGGGTAGGAGGGATTTACTGTAGTTTTTGCAGATGCATAGAGGAAAGTCCATGAAGGACTCTATTGCTGTTGTCGAGTCTTGAAGTTATTAAGAAGTGGACAAGTATCTGAGTGGTGGAGTGAGGGAGAGGAAGGTAGTCATAGGGGTTTGGGACTAGTAATAAGTAGCTATGGTTTGTTGCTGTTGAGCTTTAGAAAATTAGTGTCCATCCAGAGTTTGACATCAGTCAGGCAGCTGGTGATGATGGCTAGAGTAGTGGATTTGGTGGAGGTGTAGACCTGTGTGTCATCGGAGTAAGTCCATGTTGGTGGATAATGTGTCCAAGGGATAATGAAGAGAAGGTGGCAGAGTACTGAACATTGGGGAACACTGTGGATAACGGAGGCAGAGTGTGACTTGCTGGTCACAGTGAAAGGATTGTACAACAACCAACCTCAGGTCACGTTTACACGAGGCCACTGCCTGAAAGATGGCTATTTTTGGATGTTTTTTTGGGTAAAAGAAAACCTTAGATAGCACTGAGATTTTAGCACGTCATCGAACGTACATGTGCTTTTGACCCTTAGTTTCCACCTCACTAGCTTCCTGCTCATTGCAAACACTAACTTGCATTCCTTATCAGAAACGGTGCTAACCTGAACAGCATTAAATAACATAATGCTTTTCACCATTGTTTTTTGTTTTTAATCTGCTCATGCTTGTATGCTAGTATGTACGCTTTCACACCTTTGCAGGGGGTATGATAGAATGTTTAACCCATTAAAATTAAAAACAATAATTGGCTTCACAAATTTGGATTTATTGTGGATTTCATCTAAAAAGCTAGGTCCTGTTTGAAAAGAAAAAAAATATATATTTCTTGTAAAAGCATTCCACCCTCAGAAAGCTGTTCAACTGAATTCTTAAAGGCCAAAAATTAATAGCATATGTAAACTTCTGGCTTGGGCTGTACATAAAATCTTTAACATCTGTTCTTAGATATTCTGAAAGACATTGTGGAGAAGATGTCAGCTGGAGTTCTCAGGTAACTTTGAAAAACATGCTGTTTGTGCATTTTATCCCGATATAAAAGATATCAGGAAATACTGACTGTTCAACATAATCACATCTGGCTTCTCTTCCCTGCAGACCTCAAATGGAGGAAGCTGTTCCTCTCTATGAAGCCACAGTTGCCATGGAAACCATCCAGCGTCATCCCAAGAAAAAGGCTGTCGTTCAGCTCTGAGCAAGAAAACAAAACCTCATTCAGTTCTGGGTCACACTAACATCTGAAAGTTCTTTTTTCCAAAGTCAACACTTCAGTGAACTGGACAATGTTTGAACCCATTAAACACCAGTATTTCAGGATTTCTCCACATGGAAATGAATAACAAATAATCATTATTAAATCAATGTTCTTTTTAACAGATTCTAAGAAAGAAATGCATCTTTTGTTCTGGATATTTGTTTAAACTATGTTGGTAACACAATAAAATTGCATGTGAGGAATTAGAGGAGGAAGTGTCTGCTGTAGGAAAATGGTTATGTTCTTTCAGAAATTTAATTCAAAAAATATTTGAGGGGTATGAATACTTTTGAAAGGCATTTTCAAAGAATGTCAGATGTCTTGTGATGGAGCTCCATAGATGGCAGCTGATGTTTCTTATTCAGGGTGCACCATTAAATTGGCCCATATTTCATTAATGTTGAAATATGGGCCAAAGTCTGAAAATCAGGCACAAAGTGTTTGGTTTTGTGGATAAGATCAGTTTCTCATGTAGAAATTGAAATTGGCGATCTGTCAATTTCTACATGAGAAACTGATCTTATCCACAAAACCAAACACTTTGTGCCTGATTTTCAGACTTTAAGCAACTTTTCAGCCAAATCAGAATTGGCAGGTCAGGATTTTTTCAAGATCAGTGATCATCCAGAAAACTGTAATCGGTGCACCACTACTTCTTATAATCTTTGGATCAAAGTGGCACTTTTAATGTCTTTTTAGCTGCTTTGTGGGCAGGAAGAAGAATGATACAGCAGCTGTGTGAACAGAAGACCGGTAAGGTGTCAGCTCTTCGCTCCAATGTTTGCTTTGCATGAGGACGTCTCTTTTTCTAGAATCACTGAGTCTTTCAGAGCTGTAACACAGTTCTCCAAGATCCACCTCTCCTCCTGGCGCAATGCCCTCACCACCTCCAGCTGCTCCCTGAGTGGCCCCCCACACTGACCCAGAAGCTGGGAGATCTAAATGCAGAAAGATGAAGCATTTCAGTCCCATTTTTATTCCAGGAAATACTTTGATCTGTGTTTATGTGCACCTTATCCAGAGCTATGTGTGTATCTTTCAGCAGCTGTTGACATAAAGTCCTGGCTGTCTGGCTGCTTCTCACTTCTGTCTTTTCATCAACAACTTGACCGAGCAGCGCTGGCCTCCATAGGTGGCTGGAAAAACACAAATATAACCAAAGCTTATCACACAAGCTGGGTCAAGAAGAAAGCTGATCAGGAGTGATTGAAAGACCACATTTGTTGGGACAGATTTTCTGTAGGTTCCATCAACCCAAATTTAAAAAATTTTTAAGACTTATGAATGAAAATTAAGACCTATGTCGCAAAAAAGCTAGCTACCCATGGTAGAGGCAAAACATCTAGGTAGCTTTTTTATCCATGATATATACAGGAAAGCCAGATGGCTTCTTGCTTCTATCAGTGACAAGTGAAACCTAGCTATCACTTATCTTTGCTAACTATAAATATATAGTATATATTAGCAGCTAGTTACCAGTAGCTGCAACCGCTTTGAGTCACAGAAAGCAACGGAGATGTCTGCGAGTGACTCAAACGTTTGACAGAAAAGTCCCACAGAAAAAACATCTACATAGTAAATGTAAGACCATGCCATAATCAGAAGTCTGACATTTTGTTAACATAGTTAAGGCCAAGTTCATTTCTAAAAATTAGTTTATGACATTCAAAGGCATTAATTTTAGATACATAAATTTAAAGACTTTTTAGAAATGCACCAACACCCTGTGGCCAGATGAAAATGTCATCATACTATAGTGTTTGTGGCAGAGACAGCAGTCTTAGAGCCACCATCAGCCTCCAACTGGGACCTTCACTGGACACGGTGAGATTCCTGTCAGGAATGAAAAAAAAAATTAAAGTTTGTTAAAAAATAATATTTGCTTCTTCAAAGTTTACTGTCTAAATAGGTTATTTAGGGTTCCGTCTTATTGTTTCTGTGCAAAATTTAACATTTTTGTGTATATTTGTTTAGTTTGGCAATATTTAATCTAAAACCGTAACAGTGCTGCTCCACCCACTTTGGTGGAATTCTTTAAAAGATTTGTCAGGGTCAGTGTTTTGCTTTCATAAGAGGGTGAGTTACAGTTTTTTCATGAAACAATATAAACCAGTTAAACAAGTCAATGTAGCAATGAAACATGGAAATGTTTATGGCACAGACTTACTCAAGGAAATGATTTTCTCTGAGGAACTTCATCTTCTGATCCAAACTCTTCTCACCTCTTAAAATGTCACACAGCAAGTCTGAGGAACCACAGTAAAAGATTAGTATTTTTTAGGATGTTGTGCAAAATTTATTCCATTAAGAACTTTTACTTTAATTATACTTAAGATATTATTATAACATTGTCTTAACAGACTACAAAACTAGTAGGGGTGGACCGATTGGACTTTTCCAGCTGATCACTTATCTTTTGGCCGGTACTGATGTTTTTGCTGCAAAGTCACTAAATATAGCAACTTTTAGCAAAAGTGGACAGTAGTTGATCTTAAGATACTTACAGAGTATCTGAAGATCACCCAAAATGTAAGAAATCGAGGTTGATTTATTGGTGCACCCCTATACAAAACCTATTATTTATTATGACACTGCCTTTGACTACACCCAGACCTTTTACTGATGTTTATGACTTGCCTGGTTCCACGTACACGACGCTATGTGGATTATTCATGGCAACAAATCCGTACTCCAAAAGCAGGCGCTGGTTGTCATGGGAACCATAGTTAATGAAGGCCTGCTCGTAGCACGGTATACCACAGACACTCCTGATTTCATAGCATTTTGTCTGATCATTAAAACCCGCTTTTACCTGGTGGGAAAAGATGATATAAACCCATCTATGAATATGGTTCAGATGGAAACGAAACATGAAATCAAAAGTGATTTCATGTTGACCTGGACATCAGGGCGGTGGTTGAGGAGATCCAGGAAGGGAGCTAAAGCGTAACTATCAGGTCCAGACAGGAAGCAGCTGGACGGCCGGGACATGAAGACAGAGCGCGTGTTTACACTGCACCACGCCCACCTGAAAGAGGCAGAACAGCTGAAATAGCAGACTGAACCAGGTTTGGTGACCATCAGTGCGTTTGTGTACCTCAGAGCTTCATAAGTCAGCACATCTTCTATGGGCTGGCTCAGAACTGGCTGCAGAGTCCTGTACAGATCAACAAACACAGATGTTTGCAAAACCACTGATACTTCTTTAACTGTCACATTTTAACATGCTACAACTACAAACACCAATGTACTTTACTGGGATGTCATGTACAGACCAACACACACTGCGAAATCAAGCATCCCAAAGCTGAACAGAAACGAAGCTCAACTCCCCTGAAGAACTCCTGATTGGAGGAGTGCATCTCACGCACCGCCTCCCTCTGCTCTAAGCCCCGCCTCCTCACGCCGGCCGGTAGGACGTCTGCCACCTCTTCTGAGAAATATGTGGGGCAGGCATAAGAGTAGGGCAGCACGTCAATGTACGGGAACCAATCAGAGGCCTCCCCACGCTGGCGCTCACACACCAGGAAAACACAAAGCGCCGAGAGAGGAGAAAGGCGGGGTTTCCAACTACAGACAAGATAAAGAGTCAAACTGCAAATAAAATCCCCCCATTTATGACAAAGTTAGCAATCTTGCAGCTTTACCTTTTGATGTACTCTCCCAGGTAGCTGCTGAGAACAGTAGAAGTTGTGAGGAGACAGGATTCTGGCAGAGAAACAACCAGCTCCCCTGGCTGAAAAGCAATATTTTAATTGTGTCAGTTTTGGTCCTCCACACTAATCAGCTGATTTTTGAAGGCAACTGTTTAGGAGGCTGAAGAAAAAGAAGCCATGTATCGTTTTCCTTCTACTTGACAATTAGAACATATTTCGTCTCAGTCTATCTTCAAAAAACACCCCATCTTAAGGTTGTACCATGAAAACGTTAAATTGTTCTAGATTATTTAAATTGTAAGGAAATAATAGTATTAAAACATATTTAAACAGTACCATTATAGTTTGGAGAGTCTGCAGTCCTCTTCCTGTGTCTGAATGAAAACAAACACAAACTGTGAGGTTGCATCATTGTAAACAAGAGATAAATACATTTCTGAAGCTCTCCTTAACATATAAAATAAAATAAAACTTCATCCAACAGCCAGGCGTACCAGAGAACAGAGCAGGCTGCAGCAGCGTTGAGCTGAATCCTCTCTGGTGGAGAAACTTCATCAGCCTGACGTACTGCAGCTGATGACTTAGAGAAACTGGAACGTCAGAGGGAAATGAAGAGTGTTTCTTTTTCTGTGATGAATCAGTTTACTGCAGTGACTCTTTTCCTACCTGAACGGACGGATTGTTCACGTTTCCGTTTCCTCTTTCTTGCAGTTCTTCCAACTCTGCGGCTGCGACCTTTCATGGCTTCCACCAGCTCATGTGAAGAATAAGCATGATAATTACCGGTATATTTTAAAATTAAACTAAAGTTCATCATATTTTAAAAGAGCAAAAAAGTCTCACACTTTTCTGTCTGACAGGTCAGTGTGTGCAGACAGAAAATGAATGTGACTCAGAACTAAATAACAAAAGTGTCCTGCTAAATGTAATGCTACCAAACAATATTTGTTGTCCTTCTTCAGATCTACCGACTATATTACTATATTACTTTATGTTGCTGGACTTGGACCTTACTCTTAACAATTACAAATATCTTTTCTGCCTTTGGGTATATTAAAGGGATGGTATGCTTCATTAGTCTGCGCTAATATTTAATGTGACTGGCATAAGTCGTATGCCATGTCCATGTTGAGCTATGAGACACAAAAACAAGACCATATAATTGGAGCTCAAATTTCTAAATGAAAACCGTCTCAGTTTGTGTTGGCTTAAAACATATCATACGGACACTAACAGCTGCTGTTCATAAATGCAGTTAAATTAATTGAGTTTCCATTAATAAAACACTTACTGGTCGAGAAACAATGTTGGACTTTCTATCCTTGCTTTACTAGGTTCTTTGCCTCTGTAATTTTCCGGGTATGCGTGGTAAAGCTGCGCAGTACGGCTGGCCGCCATCAGCGCCGACACATGGTCACGTGGTTAAAATGCGCAGGCTCAGTCAGTTTGGGCTCTTCTGACCAAACAGAACGCAAAAACGAATATCTCTCATTTTCACCACGATTTTATGTAATTATTGTCAAAAATGTGCTTCATTGGATTTTACAATAATTTGTGTATACAGTATTCTGGGGGAACGACAAAACTATTGCACATACTTTTGTTTTTGCTAAATGAAATTATTTTGTGGTTCATAATTCTGGGTTAAAGTCGGACTAAAAATCATGAATTAGATAGAAAATACTAGAATATAGTTTGCAAAACACATAATAAAAAAGTTATGGTTGTCTTTGGAAATCTCACTGTGCAAACCTTTAAACCCTCAGGTAGCATAACAAAAGAAACAGCTGTAATGTTTCAGTAGAGCCACATAGGCACAGGAGCACTTCAGAATACTATTGTCACTACCATCTACTATATCCTCATGCAATGCTACACAAGGAGGGATCTGTAAAAATCACATATGCTTTACATCCAGTTTGACAGAACTTGAACTATTTTGCAAAAAAAAAAAAACTTTTCAGTGATAGAAGTTCAGGCAAAGTTCGTCCATGCCTTTATCTCCTCCAGGCTCGACTACTGCAACTCTGTTTGTTGGAATGCATAGAAAACATCTTCAGAAGCTTCAATACATTCAAAACAGCGCAGCCAGGATTCTATTGAGAGCCCGTAAATCTGACCATATTATACCTATTCTGCATGACCTTCATTGGCTTCCTGTCACCTACAGAATTCAGTACAAAATCGCTCTCATTACCCATCAGTGTTTAAACTGAACCTCACCGGATTATCTGAAGGACCTTATCATTCCACTTTCATCCACCAGATCTCTACGATCACAAGACTGCAACTTCCTCCACCTTCCTTGTTCCAGATTAACCCAAATTTGGGTCCTCTAGTGACAGGGGTGTCAAACTCCAGTCCTCAAGGGCCGCTGTCCTGCAACTTTTAGATGTGCCTCTGCTGCACCACACCTGAAAAGAATAATTAGGTCATTAGCAAGGCTCAGGAGAACCGATCTACACAGGGAGGAGGTAATTAAGCCATTTCATTCCACTGGTCTCATTTCATTCCAACACTGCAGGACAGCGGCCCTTGAGGACTGGAGTTTGACACCCCTGTGACATTGTGAATGACAACCTGAGACCAACAGGTTAAGGACCATGGGAGATCGGGCATTCGCTGTGGCAGGCCCCCGTCTCTGGAACTCTCTCCCGGACCATTTGAGAGCTCCGCAACCACTGGTTGACTTTAAAAGACGCTTAAAGACTTTTCTATTTAAGCAAGTCTATTCTGCCTCCACATGATTTTTATGATGTTGATTTTATCCTCAATTTTAGTTGTACTATGTAGCACTTTGAGATTTTTGCTAATGAAAAGTGCGGAACAAATTAAATTTATTATTATTATTATTATTATTATTATTATTATTATATAAAAGCAGCACATACTTTTCAGATCTTATTTGTAATGTAAAAATGTTCTAGAGATATGAATACTTTTACAAAACACTAATACCTCAGGGCTAATATTTCATTAATGTTTTACTGTGTTATCAGTTTGTTCATTGCTTGTATTTGTCATAATGACACAGCAGGTTTACCATTTGAAATATGGTGTAACTATTTAGCACATCTGACAGTTTGTATCTCATTAAATCAGTGGCACAAATAGTGATGTAAAATATTTCTGTGTGAACATCTTCCCTTGAATTTTTATCACAAAACAGAGAAATATATATTGTAAATTATATAAGGGGTGTCCAAACTGCAAAGTTAAAAAAAATATGCATTTCATTACCCCACCAGTAAATTTGACATTTTTAGCCCAGATGACAAAAGGTCATCTGGGAACACAAGCAAGATGGCTGGCCTGAGACGGCGTACGGAGTGTCTAAAACCAGACTGACAGTAGGGTTTAGTTCCATTTAGTTTATGAAAACTATAAGATAAGTTTGATGTAGGTTCTCACAACATGGAAATATAAATAATAACACAAAATAAAAACTTAATTCCCATAATTGCATTTTGTGTCACTTCAGACACTGTCCATCATTCTTGCTCGTCGTCTGCGTAAAGAGAGACCAAATGATGGGGTATTGTATGAAAATGTTTTTCAATAAATATTTTCAACTTGTCTTAGTCCAGAAAATCTCATCACTAACATGGATTTTGGGGGGTGAGGGGGTTGGACTCATTCCTCAGATCTTGCTTAACGCCTGCTGTCCAGGATGGGTACGCACTGACATGGCTGGCCCAAACGGGCCCAAGTCACCAGACGAGGGCGCCATCACTCCGGTGTACCTGGCCCTGGTCCCACCAGAAACCACGGAACCTAATGGAAAACTAGGGTCTGAGAAGGAAGTTCAGCCGTGGTGAAAAACCTACAGAGAAATGAAAAGACAACATCTCTGTTTCATCTTGTAGAGACACGGAAATCAGGATTATGACCTTTTACAAACATTTAACTGCTAACATCAAGACTTTCGTAATTGTTTTAGGATTAGGAAAATCATCTGAAGAAATATCTTATTTCTTCAGATGATGTTGCTAGCACATAATTTTTTTATGCACCTTAAAGTGTTATCAGTCTGATGTTTATTTAATTTTAATAAAAAATAATGTCCACCATTAGAGTCTTGAATTAAAAGAAACAGCCTCCATATTAACATATTTTATCTAATTGTTTTGGAATTTTATTTTTCTGTATCAAATTAAATGTAAAGTTTAATAATAATTTTAAAAAGCAGTAAAAATTGCTCTGCTTCTCTGAGCTGGATGAAACGGTCGCTGCTTCCGACAGACACAATTTGTTGTTCTAATGAATTTGTTTGCTAGAAATATGTTTTTGAAAATTAATAAGACAGGGCTTGCTCTGATGTCTGATTAGTTTGTCTTAAATTCCACTTTTTTCAGGAAGATAGTCATAAGACATCACATAGCTAAAATTAAATGATTGGAAATGTGTTTCTGTTTTTATATTTTACTTTTCATAACAAACGTAACAAATAGACATATCTCATTTGGTATGCTGTTTGCCTTTACAAATCAGTCTAACCACAGTTTCCGATGCCCAAGCAACAGGGGGCGCTGTGGGAATAATCATCTTTTTATGGGTTGTTATTTGTGTACACTGTACAGTCTTGTGCACGAGTTGTGTGTCATGTGTGATTGAACCATGTGGTGTTTACCTTGCGACTAAGATAGAAATATATGTTTTGGAATCATAGACATAATATTATGTACATAATAAATATTATTATATTATGTCTATGTTTGAAACCATAGACATAACCACCTCCTTCCAGACTTCATGTATTTCCTGTTTATAACTTCCGCTTCCTGTGGAGCTCTATTGACTCTGGACGCTTCCTCGTTCCAGTCTGCTATTTTTACTGCTCCGTGGATCTTGTCCTCCAGCTTCTTCTCCAAGCTGAAGTAAGGCGCCTTCAATAAACTGCATTCGTTATTGAGAACATTTTTTTATGTCTATGCATTGTTTACTTTAGGTAAAGTTGCCTCATGCTTACATGCAAAAATGAAAGTCATTATTACACAAGTAGCAGACGCAGAGTCTTCAGGTTTACCCCTCTCACCCTCTCAATAGTCTGTAGTCAAGTTTAAAGTGAAATGTTGTGATTATGACCTAATTTGAGCTTCTTTTAAAAGCTCGTATTTTGTACTGCTTGGGATATATTGAATTATTTTCACGGGGTAATGCCGCCATCTGCTGTCGGGTTGTATTGTGGAATCTGTATTTGGAAATGTATGGCGATGGAACACAACAACAACAACAACAACAATAATAATAATAATAATAATAATA